AATTTACCCAAATTATCTTTTCCGTTATTGTGAACAAAACATTTGCAACCAAAGACTCGAAGATGGGAGAGGTTTGGCTTTCTTCCTTTGTATAATTCATATGGGGTTTTCATGAGTATCGGTCTAATGACGGCTCGGTTTAACACGTAGCTCGCGGTACTCACGGCATCCGCCCAAAAATACTTAGGAATTTTTGCCTCATCAAGCATAGTTCTAGCCATCTCCTCGAGACAACGATTTTTACGTTCCACCACTCCATTTTGTTGTGGTGTACGTGGAGCGGAGAAGTTATGCTCGATGCCTAGTTCGTCACAAAACTCGGTAAAGAGATCTCGTTCGAACTCTCCACCATGATCGCTTCGTATGGCTACGGTGGTTAAGCCTTTTTCATTTTGAACCTTTTTGAGAAAAGTTTTGAAAACATGAAATGCCTCACTTTTATGAGTTAGAAATAATGTCCATGTGAATCGAGAGTAGTCATCAACGATCACAAAGGCGAAATAGTTTCCCCCAAAACTTTTTGTTCTTGATGGTCCAAAGAGATCCATGTGCAAAAGTTGTAGGGGCCTTGTTGTAGACACAACATTTTTCGATTTAAATGAGGCTCTTACTTGCTTGCCCTTTTGACATGAATCACAAATGGTGTCCTTCTCAAACTTGAGTTTCGGAAGACCAACTACTAAGTCTTGTGAAACCAATTTATTCAAAAGCTAAGGTTCATGTTGACATGAGCTACTCTACGATGCCATAGCCACATATCGTCCTCCTTACTCATGAGACATTTGGCAAAGTCGGAGGGAGATTTATCTAGGTTAACCATGTAAATATTATCAATTCTATCACCACGAAGAATCGTCTTATTGTCACTAAGACGTTCTACCGTACATGATTTAGAATCGAAGGTCACACGATTTCCCTTGTCACACAATTGACTTATGCTCAAGAGATTCTGTTTAAGACCCTTAACCAACAAAACATTATCAATGGAGGAGGTTTCATTTTTACCAACCGAACCAATGCCGATTATCTTGCTTTTGCTATTATCGCCAAAGACAACGTTTCCTCCTTTAGTTGGTTTGATTTGCAAGAACTTGGATGCATCTCCGGTCATGTGCTTGGAGCATCCGCTATCAAGGTACCAAAGTACACTTGATGCCTTCAAGCACACCTACAAATCAATTTAAAAAGATTAAGGTACCCAACTCCTTTTGGGTCCTTGGGCGTTAGGTGCACGTTGGTAGTGTGATTGGTTTTGAGTGCAATGCCTATGCCTAGTGAAACAAACCGGGGCTATATGTCCTACCCTATTGCAATAATGACAAATAACATTTGGATTATGCATTCTCCTAGGTTGATAATAGTTACTAGGTTTTCTATATTGATTGATCTTGGTTTGAGAAAAATTTTGTTTATGCATGTTTGGAAGATGGTTTCTAGGTTCTCTAACTTGACTATTGTTTATCCTAGTGTTCTTTCTAGGTGGTCTAGTGCTCCTAGTGTATGTAGGTTGTCTATTATTGTTCATTTTAGTTTTCCTAGGTTGAGCCTTAGGTTGTTTAGGTGGTTGCTCAACTTTTTCTTTATTATTAGTTCCATTTTCAAAACCTAGGCCATGTTTAGTAAGTTGCAAATTATCAAGAACATCATTGAGATTTTTATGAGAAACACCAAACTTCTTTAAGGTTCCTTCAAGTTTTGCAACTTGTTCTTTAAGTGATGTACAAGAACTACATTTTGAACTCTCCGGTTTGTCGGCGCTTCTTTTTCCGAAAAACTTATTTTCTTCTTTAAGTTTTTCATTATCTTTTGATAATTTATCAACCTCCTTCTCTATGGAAGTAAGTTGTTTCTTTAAATCCTTGTTAATTTTAGAAGCATTGATATATTCATCATAGAGTTCATTAAAAGCTTCTTGTACATCATCTAAAGTATG